AAAAAAAACAGAAAATAACAAGTATTGGCAAGGATGTACGGAAATTGGAACTCATATGCTGGTAGGAATGTAAAATGGTACAGCCAGTGTGGAAACTCGGACTTGGGGGAGGGCAAGGGCAACATAAGTAACATAAATATCTGTACCCCCATAATAAAAAAAAAAAAAAAAAAAAAAATTCAAGAAAATTTTATGCAAGAGAGAATAAAATTCATTTGGAAAATTGCCTGTCCTTGCAACCATCTGAGATGTGTATTGACAGTATGGCTTTCTGAGTTGTGAATTGGGACTTCTTATAAGGATTTTTACCCTGATTCTTCTGCTTTCTTGATATATTATCAACACTTCTTTTCAAGAGTTTTGGCTTTCCTTTTTAACAAATAGGAAGCCAGACTTTTATTCTTGGGCCTGGTAGCCATGCAAATCCTGTTCTTAGAGGAATAGGGTAATAAAATGTGTTTTTCCCTTGTTAATTAAAAATTATAGGAGACCATTATTTTGGACTAAGCTCCTGTACTAGGCCCCAACCAAAAATCAAAATGGATTCATCCATTCTAAAATTTCACTTCACCAAACCTAAGTTGTTATCTGACCTTCTGAGAAGTCAGGAGAGTTAACAGCCAATTTTCCAAACAGGCCAGTTTCAGTCTTTAATGGACATGATGATGAAGTTCCTTTTGCTGTAGTCCTTATGCAAAAGAAGTAGCCTGATGATCAGTTTTTCCTACTGTTCTGTTCCCCTGTCCTAACTGTACAACAAAAGTAGCTTTGAAACAACAAATATGTATGCTTTCTTTAGTTCTTCTCTGTCTATAATGTCAACCTCTTTTATTAGCTCATTGGAACACTTTTTCTATTATATGGAATGAAGTGTTGTCCCATTCCATAATTGTAGTAAAGCCAACTGAGATCTTTAAATTTGTTGTAATTTTGTCTTTTGACACCCTGTACGTACAGTTTTATAATTTCCTTTTTTCCCCACTTGATAATATAGTATCTTTCCTATATGGGCTGTATCATAATTTACCCAGCCATACCCCTATTGGACATTTAGATTGATTCCAGTTTTTAACTATTGGCAATGTGCTATAAATGGGCTGTGTGTGTGTGTAATTTCACGTATGTATAATTATTTACTTGGGATAAATTCTAGACCTGGAATTTTCAGGTCTAAGAGTATACATAGTTTATATTCTTAAATGACTTGATAAATTGTCCTAGAAAAATTTTTATCACTTAGTATTCTAGTTACATGTAGAAAATGACCACCTGCTCTTTTTCTACTGGTGTAGTGTTAGTTCTCACCGAGACTATGAATTAGATATTTTCATTTTAAAAAAATTTTGTTTGGGGTACAGGGTTTGGTCTTCTTGAATTGCCAGCTTTTTGTATGCTCCAATTTTTTTTTTTTTTAAATCTGCTTGTCTCGAACTCCTGACCTCGAGTGATCCTCCTGCCTCGGCCTCCCAGAGTGCTAGGATTACAGGCATGAGCCACTGCGCCGGGCCTAAATCTGCTTGAATTTATAGAAAAGACCTGGTTTATGATATTGAGCAGGGTTCCATCAGTGATTGTGTGCTCATTATTCACTTCTGCTTGGTGTGGGCAGTGATTTCTCCTCATTCCACCCTGACCTGCACTGCTTTGTTCTAAAGGGTGGAGATGGGTCTGGAATGAGAAGCATGGAAATAGCTTTACCTCCTCTTCTAGGGGAAAACCCATGTTTCCCGTAATTCTCATTCACATAGATATAATCCTAAAGGTGGGGTTGATGCTGAGATAAATAGGAATCACTTCATTAGGGCCTTTTGTTGCAAATAGAGGATTCAGGGGCCCACACCTCTTGCTTTCACCTGCATGTTTAAGAGAACGGCTTTGGAATCAGACAGGTTTAAGTTGAAGTTTTGGCTCTGTCACTTTCCTGGCACATCCTTCCTGGCTGATGGAGAAATAAGCTGCCCTTGGGTTGTTGAAAATAATAAATGAGATAGCATTTATAAAACACCAAGTACAATACTTGAAGGACATAGGTGTTCAGCAAAATGGTGGTTAATAGCAATACCAGTAAATAATATTAGTAATTAGAATCATTAAAATTTACAGGTAATAAGCCTTCGTAAAAGTTTTGAAAGCTTTTTGAAAATAAGATGTTAGTCCTTGTTTTATGTTAAAAATATTGTATCCTGGTGTTTTTGGATATGTTAATTTTATTGGGAATATCCTGGTGGTCTTCATGTTAATTTCTTTGTTTCTTTCTCAGATGTGGAAGAGCTGACCCCAGCACTGGATTTGCTTTGCTCAGCAATTAGAGAGAGTGATTCTGAAACCCAAAGCAAGCACTTTTCAGAACAGTTGCTTAATCTTACTCTTTCTTTCCTTAACAAACAAATAAAGGAGCTTTTTATTCACACCAAAGGTAAGAATAGCAGGACAGAAGTATAAGTGCTGCTGTTGCATGAGAGAGCATAGCCAGTGGAGTGCCATTTGCTAAATTTGAGTAAAGTCACTATGTAACTGAGTGAGAGAAATGAGTTTTAATACTAGAAAAGTTGGCAGAAAGACCCAGGATTAATCATGGTGAAGAACATGCAAAGAAAAGGGTTATATTAAAACACAGAGCTACTTATAAATAGGAAAAACCTCAAACATACTGTTTGAAATTTGAAAATACCAATTTTGAATTTTATCGTTCTCTAGAATTCTTTATGACAGTTCATGATATATATGTTCTCTCTCCATATGTATACACACACACATATGTACACACTCACCCACATACCCACAAACACATGTGAATGGTCACATTGGTATTTTCCACAGAACTAGATGAACATCTGCAAAAAGGAGTGAACATTTTGACTAGCTACATTAATGAACTTCGAACTTTCATGATGAAGTTTCCTTGGAAGCTAACAGATGTTACAGATGAATATGATGTAAATGAAAATATCCCCAAAGAAAAGGAGAGTGATACATGGGAGAAACTCAGCTTGGAGGTAAATACAAGTAATTATCACTTCTTTTATTTGCCAGATTCAAAGGATCTGAGAAAACAATAGAAAAAACAGAAATTTAGATTCTGCACACTTGTGATTAGAATATTTGGCAAGGGTTTTGGGTTTTATAGGTTTTGGGATCTCTGGACATGACCTCAAATGTCTACAAGCTCCATTTATCTAATTTGGAACACAGGTTCCCTTTTAATGCCATATCTGCCCACTTGGATCCAGTAATAGACACCCAACCCCAAAACCACCTGAAGTGGCACTCTCTTAGCAATATTCCCTCACTGGCTAGGGCCTAGTATGGACTCATGCATTCTGCCTGACCTCTGAATAAATTGAATTGCTGCTGGTGTTTAGATCTTTGGAAATTTTTATTTTATGACATTATTATTTAGAAGTACACTCAATTTGAGTCTTATCTGAAATTCTAGATAAGACATTGTACAGTTAAATTTTCTATGTCCATCTGTTTGCCTTTCTTTTCTCAGTAAAAGTTAATACAACCAAAATGTGCTGCCCTCTGTGTGACTTATGGACTGGAAAAATTCCTTCACCCACGTGGAGAGTAGTGGTATTAGAAAAACAAAAGCAAAAATAGCTTAACACAGATGATCATTATCAGTAAGGAGTGGAAGTGATAAGGTTGAGATGCTGCCAGGTTCTCAAGATGGCTGTTTTTGGGATGGAGGGTTTGGGAAAGTAACTGGTGTGACTGCATTTTTTTGTCCCTCTTATTCATTCTCTAACCAGAAAGTACTTACTTTTCCTTCTACTTTTTTGGCTGCTTTTTCCTGTCTCCATCATAGCTTTCTCTGGAGACCCTGTCTGCAGCTACATGCATGTGAATGTGTGCATTTGTATGTACACACAATTTTATACATGTCTTAATGGCGTTCACAGACCCCTTTATAGCCCCACGTTAAGAATGCTTCCTTTCTGTTCTCTCTGGGGTTTAAATCTTCAGTTTATGTCATTACTTCTTTTCGTTTGGATTATTGTAGTAACCTAATGCCACACTATCTTGAGTTTAAATTGCTTTCAGTGAATTCTCCACATTGCTGCCTGGATATTTTTCCTAAAATATATATCTGCTTATATATATCATCTCTTGCTTTTAAGGCCTTTCAGTGGTTCCACGTAAATTTCAGGATAAAATCCACCTCACATGCAAGTGCCTTCGTGATGGAACCTCTGCTTTTCTTTCAGGTCTCATCTGCTGCTGTCTCCAGATTTTTCTCCAGTTATATTGAGTAATTTGGAGAGTTCCCTGAACACTTAATATAGTTTCTTTCCTTTTTGTTTTTGCACGTGATATTCCCTCTCTTTGGAACTCCTGTCCTCTTTTCTCAATATATGTACGGAACATTTACTGATTTTTAAATTTTTTGCCTCATCCATTACCTCTACTAGGAAACCTTTCTTTCTTTTCTTTTCTCTTCTTTTTTTTTTTGGTCACTCCTCTTAGGTGTTCCTCATGGGAAACTTTTATCATGGCCCTTATAATATAGTATTATAATCAATGCTTTATTTGTGTGTCTTCCACCAAACTGTGAACTCCTAGAGAGCAGGGTCTGTGTTTTGTTCAGCTTTGTATTCCCTGGGCTTAGTTCCACATCTGGTAGTAGATTTTCAATAAAAGTCCTTTAGTTAATGTTCAATAAGTGTGTAAGTCCCATGTTGATAATAAGGAAATAAAAAGGAACTTACAAGACAATGTCTTTCTTGCTTTTCTTAGGAAGTTATTGCCAATGCCATTTTAAACAACAAAATACCAGAGGCACAGATTTTCTTCAGGATGAATGGTCATTCTGCTCAAAGACTTGAGGAGATGATCAGAATAGGCCTAGGTTTGGTCTTTGACAATTTAAAAAAGAAAAATGTAAAGGAAGCCTCTGAACTTTTGAAGAATATGGTAAGTAGTATAATCTGTTTGATCTTAGTCTTAAAATGTATTTCTAGGTACTATAAAATTTCTAGGTACTATAAAAATTTGTAGTCATAGTTGTATCACAAACTAAGAAATTCATGTAGTCTTTACAGGGAAATAGTGAAATTAACAATACTGAAAAATGTTTTGGTGTTGAGAACTTTTTTTTTTTTACCCCTTTTTTTAGAGATAGGGTTTTGGTCTGTTGCCTAGGCTAGCTCACTGCAACCTCAAACTCCTGGGCTCAAGCAATAGTCCTCCCTCAGCCTCCTGAGTAGCTGGGACCACAGGTGCGCGTGACCACCCCCAGCTAATTTTTCTTTTTTGTAGACAGGGTCTCACTCTGTTTCTTGGCTAGAGTGCAGTGGCACAATCATAGCTTTCTGCAACCTCAAACTCCTGGGCTCAGCCAATCCTCCTGCCTCAGCCTTCCGGGTAGCTGAGATTACAGGTGTGCGCCACCACAATTGGCTAATTTTTCTATTTTTTGTAGAGACAGGGTCTCACTGCATTGCTCAGGCCAGTCTTGACCTTCTGGCCTCAAGTGATCCTCTGCCTTGGTTTCACAAAGGGCTGGGATTACAGGCGTGAGCCACCGCACCTGGTCTCTGAGAACTTTCTTGAAGAGATTTTTTTTCCCCCTAGCTTTATTGAGATATGATTGGCAAAAATTGTATACATTTAAAATATACAACATGATGTTTTGATACATGAATACCTTGTGAAAAGAGTACCACAATCAAGCTAATTGACATATCTATTACCTCACATAGTTACATGTGTGTATATGTGGTGAGAACACTTGAGATCTACTCTCTTAGAAAATTTCAAGTATACAATATATTATTATGATACTAACTTTAGTCGCTGTGCTATACATAGTTCTTCAGAACTTATTCATCTTATAACTAAAAGTATGTACTCTTGACCAATATTTCCTACTTTCCCCTATCCCCCAACCTCTGGTAAGTATCATTCTACTCTCTGTTACTATGAGTTCAACTTTTTTTTTAGATTCTGCACGTAAGTGAGATCATGCAGTATTTGTCTTTCTGTATCTGGCTTATTTCACTTAGCATAATGTCCTCCGAATTCATCCATGTTGTTGAAAATGGCAGGATTCTCTCTTTTTTTTAAATTTTTTTGAAACAAGGTCTTACTCTGTCGCCTGGGCTAACATGCAGTGGCGTCATCGTAGCGCACTGCAACCTCAAACTCTTGGGCTCAAGCGATTCTCCTGCCTCAGCCTCCCAAATAGCTGGGACAAGTGTGTAGCACCACACCTGGCTAATTTTTTTTATTTTTGTAGAGACGGAGTCTTGCTCTTGCTTAGGCTGGTCTTGAACCCCTGACCTCAAGCAATCCTCCTGCCTTGGCCTCCCAAAGTGCTAGGATTGTAGGTATGAGCCACTATGCCTGGCCAGGATTTCCTTCTTTTTTAAGGCTGAATTATATTCCATTGTAAATATACACCACATTTTCTTTATCAATTTATCTATTGGGGAACACAGGTTGTTTCCATATCTCTTGAAGAGATTTTTAAGTGGAGTGTCCATCATCTGCTCTCTTTTAGACCTGGCACTTTGATTAGGAGACAGTGTTTCTGATAGATTTCACACATGTCAAAGCATGCATAGGATCTCATTACTTTGGAGGGCATTCTGTATTGTTCACGTGACCTCTTACATCTCTATTTAACTTTCCAGTAGACTACGCCTTTGTTGGGGCTTTCTGCTCCATGGTTTTACTTCACATGAGAAAGGGGAGTCCTAGAAGTAGGACATCCAGACTAACTGAGATCTGGCCCTAATCTACATGGTTGCAGTCTTGCCCATGTGGAACTGCAGAGGCATTGAGCTATATATGTAATGGGTTGTTGTTTATGTTGACCTTTGTTACCAAGTGAATCATCATAGCAGATTGCTGTAGTTTGGTCCTGTGGTAGACTGGTATTACCTTAAATTGTTCTATGTGCTGCCTTTGCTCTGATAAAATGCTTAAGGACTTTATGGATAGGCAGTAAATATTATAAGAAATGTAGGAAAATGAATTTTCACAAGAGCAGAAAAGCTGTGGAATTCTAACAGGTTACATGTCTATAATAAAGTATTTCTGTATCTTACATATATTTATGTTCAAAATGCTTCCATTATAAAGTGCAAGTTTTTTTTTGTTTTCTGTGTTTATTATAGGGCTTTGATGTAAAAGACCAGTTGCTCAAGATATGCTTCTATACAACTGATAAAAATATACGGGACTTTTTGGTAGGTATAGGTAGTTTACATTTTCTAGAAAGCCTTGATGAAAAAGTAAGAAAAAACCTTGGAAGAAAAACTTTAAAATGATTTTAATAGTATTTAATAAGTAAAGTATGATAACGCTTCATATTTTTAAAGGATTATATTTGTGGCAAAGGAAAATCTGTGTGAATATATATAAACTCAAAAATTTAAAATATAATTCTTAAATGGCATTTAATCTCATGACATGTTTTTTGCAAATGTGCTTGAATTTTGTGAGGTCACTGCTTTAATTTTTATTCAAGGTTGAAATTTTAAAAGAAAAAAGTTATTTTTCTGAAAAAGAAAAAAGAACTATAGACTTCGTGCATCGAGTTGAGAAGTTTTATCTGGAACATTTCCAAGAAAATATGCAGATCCAGGCCTTGCCCAGGTAGTCTCATTAGTCCCCTTTTGATAATACTGGAAGAACATTGTAAATAGTGTTTAGTTTGTAAATGTTAGTGGGCCCCAGTTTCTTATGTGAAGCCATGCCTGCATTCTCCATGAGGATAAAGTTTGTATCAGACAGAAAGGACTCAAGAATTTCCTGTCATTTTAATATTTGCATAATCACAATTATGTGTTCCCCAAAAAAGTGGAAGTTCTTGAGCAGATAAAAAGGAATGATGCCTTTTCCTCCAAAATTAAAAAAAATTTATATCACTGTTTTTAGGTGTTGGATAAAGGAACAAGATTTTTTCAAGCACAAATCTGTTTTGGATTCATTCCTGAAATATGATTGTAAAGATGAATTTAGCAAACAGGACCATAGAATTGTGTTAAATTGGGCTCTGTGGTGGGATCAACTAATGCAAGAATGCATCCTTCTCCCCAAGATAAGTCCAGAAGGCAAGTGTGAAAGAGCCTGAAATATGAACATATTGAATAAGGTTTAAAATAGGTATTGATATTTGAATATTTTGATGTATTTCTATTTTAGAATTCCTTTTGGGGGAAAAATATGCAGATTTTTAAAAATGTTAAGTCATTGCATTATAACCTCTTAAGGTTTTTGTGAGGGATTTTTAATGTGATAAGGAAAAAGTCATATGGCTTAATGAATTGTGATTTCAAGGCTGAGTTGTCATCCCAGCTTCAAAGCAACATTCTTTGTTTTTCCCAAATAGTCTTTGAGTTTCTTCTTATGTAAATTGGGGATCTGTATCACCTTGGCACTGTGGGGAATAACCAAGAATAGTCAGCAGTGGTAATTCAGAGAGTCAAATTCATGTTTATTATTACAACTGAAGGTTTTTCTTTCTCTATATTAAGGGAAAGAGAAGGGAAGAAAAGGGTTGAACAGATAAATGAAATGCACAGCCAATACCCAAGTTTAATTTTAACCACCATAGTAATGAGAAACAACATTTAGCCCTTCCTCAGGCTATAGTATTGATTATAAAATGAACAACACAAAAGAGGAAAATAGTAAAAGAAACAGAGGACCTGAATAATTCATGTATTATATCAATGTTTATGTCCAGATTGTTGTATTTACTCAGTAGTTAATTCAGTATTGAGTCTCATGTTAATAAACACAACTCATTGCTGTTTTAAAATATGTTTTATCCTTCATGTAGAATACAAGTCATATTCCCCTGAAGCCCTCTGGAGGTACCTCACTGCTCGCCATGATTGGTTAAGCATTATCTTGTGGATTGGAGAATTTCAGACCCAGGATAATTATGCTTCACTTCAACAGAACAAGTGGCCCCCTCTGAATGTTGATGTTATTAATCAGAATACTTGCTGCAGCAGCTACATGAGGAATGAAATTTTAGATAAGCTGGCCAGGTATTGTAACTGTTGAACTAATCCCCAGTGGGAAGAATAAGAATAAAAGGGAAGAGCAATAAAAAATAATGGCATGGGTTTCCCTTTGAAATGCCATAAATCTGATATACTGTTGTTTCATATTATTATAAAATTTAAGGGCATTATCTTATACTGGGGTTTTAAAGTCATATACATTTAACATGTGCTAGTGGATAGGCTCTCAAATTCTGGATATAGATTCTTCCCAAAACGTTTTATGGTGTACTGCCCTTGTCAATAGGAGTATAAGGAACAAGTGGCAAGAGCTGAGATGAGTATACCTTAGTATCCTGTAATTGTCTCACACTTGTCTCCATATTATCACTGTAACCATGCGCTATGTATGGCCTTGAACTAAGGAGGAATTAAGAAATAGAAGAAGCTCTTGAAGTAATACGTGCAAATTTTAAACTTCAATTCATTTCTAAAAATCTGTTAGCTTGAACCATATGAACTTGACATTTGTGTGGGTCAGAAATGATTGAATATCAACAATTTCATATGGCTGAATCTAATCTGTCCTCTAAGCTATTGAAATATTTTAAGGAAAGTTAATAACATGTATGTTAATTTTTAAGTTTCTTAAACCTATTTCATATGTAGTATTTTCTGCTTATTGCGGGTATACTTATAGCTGTATTGTTCTACCCAATTTAAAGATATGGAGTCAGATCAGAGAACTTAAGAGCTTTGCCCAAGCCAGTTAGTTACAGACTTGAGTCCTTTAACCCTCCTGACTTTCTATTCATTCTTCTTGCCATTGCACTACATGCTCTTGTTTACTAAAAGTAAAATATTATAGAACTTCTATGTTTATCAGATGTTTTGCTTAGTATTTGGTTTAAAAAGCTAATATATGTATGGTTTATGAATTATAAAGTTAGTGAATTAATGAAATATACTACACTAATAGATTAAAAGTAAAAAATCATACCACCCTGTTAGATCCAGAAATGCATTTGATAAAATTTAACATCTATTTATGATAAAAACTGTTAGGCAAACTAAGCATAGATACAAACTCCCTTCACTTAAAAGAAGCGTCTAAAAAATCCTTCCAGCCAGCTGTTTTACCATACTTGATGGTAAAACATTGTGAGCATTCTCCTTAGATTTGGAACAAGATAAGCCTGCCATCAATTCTTCCCAAAGGTCATCTTGACCTTTAGTTATAGTGCAATCTCAATAAAAATCCCAACAGGTTTTTTCTGTGGATTATGACAAGTTGACTGTAAACATTTATATGGAAATGTAGAGGATCAAAATGAGCCCTGAAAAAGTTGTCCTACCAGATATCAAATCTTATTCTAAAGTTACAGCAATTAAGACAGTGGAAGTATTGGTTCAGCGACATACAAATAGACGAGTAGAAGAGAAGGGTGAGCATGGAAAGAGACCTATACGTGATCCTTTTATATATGATAAAAGTGACACTGCAGAACAGTGGGGAAAGAATTATCTTTTTGACACTGGGACTGGGGTAACTGAATAGCTAGATTTGGGGGAAAATGGAATTGGACCTACTACCTCATATCGTACATTAAATCAATTCCAGGTAGATTTTAACACCTAAATGTCAAATGTGAAACTGTAAAGCTTTGGAAGATGCTATAGAAGAATATCTTCATGACCTTGGGAATGCTAGGGTATGCTTTCTAAAAGGCTTGAAGGAGCAAAGGAAGAACAGTTACTGAGACCAGGGGAGCTGTCTGGCAGGAATTGTGGCCTTTAGTGGAAGTTGTCAGCCAACCTGCAGTCACCCTGCACGGAGAGACAGGGTACCCTCCCTTTTTTCTGACTTTTTTTTTTTTTTTTTTTTTTTTGGGAGAACTATGTTGACTCTGCTAGCCTCGCTTGAGTGCAGTGGTGTCATCATAGCTCACTGCAACCTCTAACTCTTGAGTTCAACTGATCCTCCTGCCAGTCTCCCTAATAGCTCGACTACAGTACA